GGTAGTCAATAACTGACCTGATCTATATTAAAGGAGCATTGTGGAGTTTTGTTGTATTATTTAAATTGTGGATCGCTCACATCCATGTTTGCTTGCTCTCGTCTATTGTTGGTGCATTGCTACATTTGTTGGTAAACTGCTGAATGGTTCTGCTGCGAGCTCAATACAAATGATAGAGGGACCCATTTGTGAAAGCACTGCTCCATAGTGCTACCAGTGGTGAAAACTACTCCACAGGGTTCCTTTGTTAAAGGTCTGCTGTATATTTTTGTTCAGACTGTTGGGATCACACCTAGAGGTTTTTAGAGTTATTTTCTGAGGCTGTTTCCACTTTTTTTTTTTTTTTTATGACCCTAAATACAGCACAAAGAAAAGGCAGCTCCTCTCCTCTCCTCTCCTCTCCTCTCCTCTCCTCTCCTCTCCTCTCCTCTGAGAGTTGATTGAGGCAACTTGATTTCCCTCCTGTGAGACTGATCCAGCTCATTCAGGCTAAGCTGTTTGATATAGGGATTTATCAGTGGATCAATACCAACACTTACATACCCTCTCAGACCCCTCTGAGCCATGGTCTGCTTGCAGCACCTTTTTCTTTCTCCAAACGTCTCTGACACTGCAGCAGCATTTTTCCTGTCAAATTGGTAAAGGCTGGCGTGACATTATTTACTCCAAAAAGCACTACAATTACTCTTGATTGGGGGTTATACAAGACGGAGAGAGCCACTCACTGTCTCATTTTGGAGTACCCAATTTCATGGACCATGGGCACTGGGTCAGATCCATGGGGGGAAGGTGGTAGTAGCTCACATTACAGTCTCTCTTACTACAACTCTGGGGCCATTGAAGTATCAAGCCTATATAATACTCATACAACAAAATGTCAGGTTGAATGATTTCACATTGATCTAAACATATTTTAGTTCATTTCAACTGATTTCTAATGGCTAAAACATTTTAAATATTCCTGTACTAACTCATATTTCCCTGGCTCACTATTGTATTTATATCTACGTTATCATGTTCTTGTCTTCATCATATTAGTAACATATTTTCTGTTGTAGCTCAACAGTAAGTTTATCAGTTGATTACACCAAAACTAGAGGCCCACGTCCTTGTCACCTCCACCCCTCCACAGAGCTTCTGGATCTCCATCTGAGACACACAAGCTGGAATAATTTCCCCTAACGAGACCAATCTCTGTAATCACTGATTACTTCTGCAACCCCCTGTAATCAGCCGCCAACATCTTATCACAAAAGATCTCTATGTGTTTGTGTGTGTGTCCGTCTGTGTGTGTCAGTGTCTGTGCAGTGTGTGTGTGTGTGTGTGTGTGTGTGTGCGCTGCAGGGGTTAGCTGTCCTACACATGTGTGCAGATGTGTGGGTGGATGGTAATGAGGAGATTTGTTGTTAACCTTAAGAAGATGAGAAGAACACACACACACAAACACACACACACACTCACAGGTTCAGTGAAACTGCTGGCACCATCAATTTTCTCCTCCCAGATTAAATTTTTCTGATCTTACACAAATCATGCCACCGCCACTTTGTAATAAGAAGAGCTGATACTTAAACTGACTCCAGGTCATGGTGCAGCTCTGCATGTGTTGCCTGTGTGTGTGTTATTTCCAATGAAGCCTTTGGTGATGTGTGATAAATATATAGAATAAAAATTTTGAGCCTCATAGGTGTGATAAGTTCTGGGGGCCTCTATCATCAATCATCACACAAAACCAGGCATATCAACATAAGCACACACTGACAGACTCATTCCTGCTGCTTTGAACTCACAAACACACACAGATCTGAGCAGATAAACACACACAGTCACACATGCTTACAATAACACACACTGTAGCTAATCATCAGGCTGTGTTCGGGGAGCCAGCGGAGATAGATGGTGTATCTCCTCCTGGGTCAGTGATCTGTGTGAATTATAGATCACAGCTTTTCTATCTCAGGTTTTGTAGCTGGGCCCGTGGGACAAGCTCAGTAGAGAGAGTTAGAGAGAGAGAGAGAGAGAGGGAGGGAGAGAGACAGAGAAAGAGAGGGTGATAGATACATAGAGGAGGGAGAGAGAGAGAGGGAGAGGAACAGGGTGAGGAGAGAGGAAGACAGGGTGAACTATGAAGCAAATATTAAAATAGAATGCAAAATTTAACAGCACTTTACCTTTTTTTTTTTTTTTTTTTTTTTAGAAAGCACAAATAAAATCACACTGCATTTTTGAATCAGTCCTCTGGAGCTTGATTCTCAGAAGCAAAGCTGGGTTACCAACTGGGCAACTGTCCCGGGCGGCTTAATGTGTGCTGATTGGTTTGTGTTAAGTTATTGAGCATTTTGAAAGATGAACCACTGAACCGAATGGCACAAACTGGACCAGGTGGTAACTGGGGGCTCCCAGCCACTTATTTTTGCTACAGGATTGTCAAGCAGGTTAATACAGCCATTGTTCAGTTATGATTTTGGTGGTCAGAGGTCAAAGTTCATAAGATCAGTGTGACCTCACTAAATATGGTTTTGGCCATAGCTCAAGGATTCATATGCTAATTATGACACAATTTAACATAAATGTCTTATAGGGTAAAATGATGAAGTGATGACATTTTATGTGCGCAAAGGTCAACTCCACTGTGACATCATAACGTTCTGCATAAACACCATTGTTCAATGCTGCCAAATACATGGCAAAGTTTTATCAAGAAAATCATCAGCAGTTGCTCATTTAATGACTAAGTGCATATAATTGACTTGTAGTGCATCATTAATCTAATCAAGAAAACTGCTAGAATTCCTGTTTATCATATGTATGTTTATTCAGATATGGAGCCCACTTTGGTAACTGAATCTCAGCATATAGTGATTCAGTATCTCTTTGGTAAAATGGATAGAAATAAAAATGTTACCATAAGCCTAAATTCTATAATCATAATGAATTCTGTTGAGATAAATGTGTTTTTTATGCTGTGAATTAATGTTCATGAAAACCAGAACAAGCTGCCTGGACTTTTCCACACGTGAGCTGATGAGGATGAGTCTCTTTCTCCTAAGTGAATGTGTTTGCATGTTTGTGTGTGGACATGTGTGTGTGCATGTGTAAAAGCCAGTGACTGTGATAATGGAAGTCAATACGGCCTATGTGATTTGGCGTCCTGTGGGAGCGTTTGTCTTTGATTAGAGCGCAGCAGAGAAAGGCTGACTGCACAGGAACCTTAATTGTCTCCCTGAATCACTGCACTGTGACTTCTGACAGTAAAGCTGACATGACTGACTGACTCCACTCTCTGGAGTACATATGTAGTCAATTATGACCGTGCATTTGATAGTGAAGTTTTCACGTGTTAATCTGACAGGCCTTTAACACGTCTGAGTGGCATGTGAAAGTTGCAGCTGTTGCTAGGTAGCTAATTGAGCTAATGTTAGCTTCATGAGTTGTTGAAAATACCGTCTTTATGACTTGCTTCTTAATGTTTCCACCTGACTCTTTTTCAGAATAAGAACTTTTTTAAAGGCTGTCTTGTGCATTTGATTGCCAAGATATCATGTTAACACACCAAGGCTAAACCTGCACATCACAGGCAAAAACTTAGCATCTTCACCAGCTGATGATCCAGCATTAGAAGACACGGAAATAAAGACACAACATTGTTCTTGCAATACAGTGCAAAGCTACAGTAGCTAGTTGGTGTATTAAAAGTATGGGAAAGAAAAGCATGACTATTCTTTCAGTCTAACTTAGCCCTGTCTAGCTACTTAGCTTATGTTTTCACATTACAGGAGAAACTTACACCTTAAAGATGAGGACTATCTGATGTTACATTTAACTATGTTAGCATCCAGAACTGACTTCCTACAGTGGGAAACTACTGACTATTACACAGTGGCTGTGCTAGTTGCAGATATGCATTTTTAATGTAGCTTTTATAACTAATTTAGTTAGTTGACATATAGGCCTACCTTTGTCTTGCAGGTAACAGTAGGTTAATGGGTAGCTAGTTAGCCAGACATGCTAACAACTACAGCTTATGTTACAATATATAAACAGTTTAATCCATTTGTACTTTTGCTCTTGGTTTGATTTTTTTGAAAGGCTGAAAAGAAACATCACACATACTCTTTAAATACGGCGTGTTACTCTGAAGCTGCACACACTGCTCCGACGTGGAGAAATCCAAAACTTGGCAGGCCTGCTGTGCCTAGTTACAGTTGCATATTTACATATTAATAGAAAAGACTTCCCCTCAAGGTTTTCTAGCAGCACTTGCGACAATTTAAAACAGGTCTATGAAAATGGTTGATTACCAATGGATCAGTCAATACGCTTTGAGTTGAATGTTGTAAGAGCTACAATGCTCAGTTTGTCCATGGGAATCAGTATTGTAGTAGAGCAATGAATGATGCTGACAATTGAGGACTTTATTGATTTGTAGGCTTTTTTTTTTGTTGTTGTTGTTGTTGCCACAATGCTGTTGTGTCGGTGGATAATAGTTGAGTCTCCTTGTGTTTTTCCTGCCGAATCTGATCTGAAACAATATACAGTATATTAAAACCATAAAACAGCACTTTTATGTCCCCAATGGGCCAGGCTTTAAGCTCAAGTGAAAAGGTTTGTGTTCATGCCTGGCCAGGCACCAACTTTCAAACCAAAGTCCTAACAGTGAATCAGGGTGTCTGAGAGAGTAAGGGAAAAGACAGAGGGAAGATGGCAGCAGAGAGAGAGTACTAGTCTATTTTTACTTGTTATTTTTGCCTCCCACACTGTCTGTGCACCTTGAGAAGCTCTTCAGCCAGAGGAATGAACTCAGAAAGATTTGTGCTGGACAGTTTTTTTTTAGAGGAGGAAGCTGTGATGTGTGAAAGACACAGGACTTTACTTTTATAATGTTTTTTTGGACTTTTATGGACATTTTGTAATAAAAACTTAAATGTCTAGCTTTTAGTTTTGAATAAGATTTTATAAACGACATACACAGTCATATCTTTTTCTTTCTTTTTCCCCAGGTTTATGAGAGAGGAACCAACGTGGAGCAGTTTGTGACCCGTTTCCTCCTGAAGGAATCGGCCAATCAGATCCAGTCTCTCCTGAGCTCTGTGGAGAGTGCAGTGGATGCAATTGACGAACAGCACAGCCAATCAGGGTGAGCCTGTGAGGGTATCACTGTGTCAGGCGATGTGAAATTGGGAACATTTGTGTGTATGAGCGTGTTTGTGTGAGTGTGTGTGTGTGTGTTTGTGTGTGTGTGTGTATGTGTGTGTGTGAGTGTGAGTGTGTGTGTGTTTGTGTTTGTTGTGTGTGTTCATGACTCTGCACATGTATCATGCATTATGTGTAAAACTCAGATTGTCAGTGGTCGTAATGGAAACCAGGCAGTGTTTCAAGCACAAATCTTCTCTGGTTAAAGCATCCGTCACTCACACTCTCTCTCTCGCTCTCTCACACACACACACACACACACACACACACACACACACACACACACACACACACACACACACACACACACAAACAGGTTCTCATCTCCTTTATCCCATTTTCATCACCCTCAATCTCTTCCTCATTCCTCCTTTTCATCCCCTGTGGAACCTTCCTTCCACCTGTTCTCCATCCAAGTTCTTTTATTGCTCTTTCTCCACTGTCACTTTCTCTTTCTTTCATCTCTCCACAATCCCATAACTCCTTTCTCTTTATCTAATTCTCCTTTTCCCTACCCTTCTCTCTCCTTCTCTCTCTTTTTTTCAGTCATCTACCTGCCAAGGTGAGTCCACGAATGTCAGAGAGGCGCAACGAAAACACTGTCCCTGACTATCCCCCTAACAACAGAGTCAGCGCCAGAGAGGCTGTCAGGACCATCAACACTGCTTCAGGTGACAAACACACACACACACACATACATGCACACACTCCACTGATTTCATGGTTGGAGGCCATCCGTCACGCACTTCTATGATTAGCATCATATCCACAGCCTTTAGTGACGGTACATCATTGTGGGTGAGCAGAAATCAAAGTCTGACTGCCACCCAGCAGTTTTTCATCCACTGTACACCAATAAACACACACACACACACACACACGCACATTAATTCCCCATTGTAAAGCACCTCAATCAGCCACCTGCACAGGTCCACAGGTCTGAAGCAGCTTTCCTACAGCGGATAGGAGAGCACAGATGAATGGGTGGAGAAAAAGAGCAACAGGGGTTGGAAGAAGTGAAACAGGGGTGAAGAGAAAGAGTGGAGCAAGAAGGCAGCGAAGTGAGAGAAAGAAATGGCTGAGGAAGCAAAGTGAGAGGGTAGACAGTTGCTTAATAAATCTCTTAAAGTGTTAAAATCAAAACTGTATAAAAGTCTATTCAGCACTTAACACTTAAAATCTGCTATGTCATGCTGTTTTTATGGAGAGAGAGTGTGTGTGTATGTGAGTGTTTCACCAGGATACAGCTGCTTAAACACACACAAATTGATTGAGCCTCATGATTCTCTTTGAGGATGTGCAGGACTCTCATTATTGTTCCGTTCTCTCTGTAAATCCCCCTCCCCTCTCTCTCTCTCTTTTACTCTCTTACAGTCATCCTCTCTCCTCCTCCACCAGCTTGTAGTTAAAACTGCAGCGCACGCTCGCCTTGACACTTTGCACCCACTCGAACAAATTGCTCGCCGAAGAAATGACACTTCAAAGGTTGTTGAGATACGGCATCACTTTATCACAACACAAACTCCCCAGAAGAAGATACATACAGTTCAGTCGAGGCTCAGGAGAGAGGAAAGCCTTAAAGGGCAGAGCAAACTACAATCAATCACTCCTCAGATGTTGTTATTGACAGGTGTCGGTTAAAGACGTTCAGGCTCCATGTGTCATTTTGACCCTGAGGTCAGGCAGAAGCTACAGTCACACTGTGGTAAACATTACACATGTCATTGATAACGCATGTGTTCTGCATCCTCCATATGTACAGCAGTGGCCAACAGATGTGTAAACAGCTGTACACCGTGCCGTAGAGGGAACTGTAAAAGCCATATGTCCCAAATAATGAGAATTTCTTAAATGCGCTCTGTGGAGTTTTCCTGTAAACAAACAAACTTTTGTTTACATTCGGTGTTTCAGTGCAGAATGCTCTCTGTATGTCTTTGAAGTCTAACAAACACGCTGAAAGCATTTCCTTCTTCATAAAATATTTGCAAAGCTGATTTTTTACGGCATTTCGAAAACCTGCATGGTTTACGTCAAGCACTCTTCTTCCCCACGGCCTCAGTTGGTGCATTGCTAAATTTCTTGGCAATAACTGTCAATCAGCAGAAAAGTGTGAAACTGGTTGGCAGGGTGACGTCCACATGCTCACATGATAGGTAAATGGGGACCAGCTTGTGAATACATTCCACTCCACAGGCGACATTTGGGAGATATGTGACATTTCCACAGATCAATATGCCAGTTTAAAACAATTTTTTAAAAACAATTTCTTGATTTAATTTCATGAGTACAGTAAAAAAAAAAGAGGGTTAGGGTTAGAGAGAATAGCACAGGGTTGACTCAGAAATACTGTTGTTATTAGATTTTTCCCCTTTATTTCTCAATTTAATAGACTATCAAATTGCATTTGCCCATCAACAACTTTACATACTTTATTTTCTAAAGCATAGCATGAGCATTTAGAATGATTTCCTAATATTAACTTGCAGAGACAACGCAGTTAACATTTTTGTGTCGTTGTGTGGTTGCAGTATCGTGGTAACAGTTATTTCATTTCTTTATATGCAATATATCTAGTCCTCAGTCTTCGCTGTGTGGTCTAATCTAAATAATAATGCAATTCATTCATTCATGCAAAAATGCCTATTTGTTTTTGTAAATGTTTATTGCATAAATCTGTTGTTTTTCGTCTAATAGAGTCAGAATAAGGATAGTTGAACACTACCATATTTATCAAGTAACTGCACAGTCTTCTCATTACGGAATCAGGCCATGATTTACGGTATTGAAATAATAACCACTTTTGATTCAAATTGAATTGAATCAGCTTTCTGATAAGATAGCTTGTGAAAACATCTGACGGTAAGATGATAGATATTCAGAGTTCCCATAGAGACGTCACTGAAGTTATGGTATGATTTTCAAAATGCAACATTTATTTATAGAAAGCATGATTTAGAGCATATGGGTTAAAACATACAAAACTACTGATATAGCTCTTTAAGAAGACGTTGCATCCGACACCCTTTTTATCTAAAGTCCCAAATCTAATGTGGTAGTGATTTATTAATATGAAAACATTTGGCAAAGCACCATGTGATACCAACAGAACATGATCAACCTTTGTAATGTCCTCTTTCAAAGGTCCAGTGTAAACGTGTTCCTCTGTGGTCACATCTGACTGAGTGCTGTGGAGTAAAACGGCACATGCAGTAGTCAAAGCCATTATTGATTCAGTGAGTGATCAGTAGAGCAGAGATTGCTTCTCTGTGTTTATTAAACACATGTGGCTCTCACACTGCATTGACTCTGTCACACAGGAGGCCACAGGTCAAATAAAGCGTTTCATCATTCAGTGCGTTTCAATACCAATGTGTGGCCTGACCCGTTTTAGCTCGGACATGAACATTAAACACAAATCAGGCTTATAAAAGTTGGTTGCTTTGATGAGATATCGTGATTTATGTGATTTACGGCCGCACTGATGCACTTAAGTGAGAAGACTGTTTCCAACAGTTGCCATGGTTTCTATAAATCTTTGCGTTTCATTGGGATGGCGTAAACACACAGAGATGTCGAGAGTGTGACACTGCTGTCAGACCGGATGGGACGTGGCAGTGATGACTCTTTATTCTCACACACCCTTGTGATTCTGACAGGACGCTGCCAAAGAACAGTTTACTCTTCATCCTATACCTCTAAAAGTACATCCTCATACATACCACGCTGTGCAATGGCAAAAGATGAGAGTGATCTTTTTTCCCTCACGCTGCCTGTTGACATTGAAATCCACAGGAACAGAGAATATAAACACAGGGAAAAGATGGAACTGCTGTACCAAACATCTACACTAAATGTACTGTCTGTGGCTAATGTATGCTGATGTATGCTAATGCTATAAATCCCCAGTGTAGCTGTTAGACTTTCACAAATTATTTTTTGATATTGAATTTAGTATTTACTTTATTTTGAACTTACTTTAAATACAGATGGAAATAAGCTAGTAGTCAAATCTGGTTCAAGACATCTCTTCTCATTGTACGAGAGTAATTGGTTTTGTACACGGTCCCTGACAAATCCACAGTGTAAAAAGGTCTGTGTCTTGGCGAGGCACATTTAATTCTTTTGAAACAAAACCCACTGTAAAACCACAATCTGGGTTTTGTCTGGTTTAAACCATCCCTGTCTCTTAGAAATTGTGTTAATTTACAACAAAACTTCTTGTAGCAATATATTTGTAGGTTCATATTTACTGGACAGATATGAGAGTGGGATCAATCTTTTTATTTTCGCAAAATGTCCAACCGTTTCCGTGAGCAACAGTAAAATAAGAGAAGTGAAAGAACAGCCTGGTGGTTTTGAACTTGACTTTGAACTGGATTCACATCATGACAGCACCAGGATTAAAGCCCTTGCTGATGTTGTTGTGGAGTTTTTCCTGATAAATGATTGATTTAGCTGTAGCAGGAATAAAACAGGAGATGTTTTCTTTTTAGTTGAGCTATATTTCCTTTAAATGACTCACTGCAGGATATGTGACCCTTGACCCTGACACAGATGTGTTGATACAGACAATATGGACAAGCGATGACCCAGGCCACTGACAGTGACATAGTATTCTAATAAAACAAAACCAAAGTGCTGCTGGGTAATAACATAGTCCCCAGTGAATACTGCATATGACAGTGAACACTGACACAGTTCACCTGAACATACATGATATGGTCTTAGCCTTAGTATTTAGAGCCTCTTCCAAATACAAAGAAAACCCCAAGTGCATAAACCAAACCGCTGCAAAAAATCCAAATAAAAAAATCTATTTCAACTATCTCTGTGGCCTTGGGATGAATCATAAAGCTTCAGCTTTCAGCCTAGGTAAGTAAGAAGTAAAAAAGTTATTTTTCTGTGATTAGAAACCAGGGCATTATCCAATTAATGAAGGAAGTTAAGGCAAAATAAGCAAAAACAGACTGAATTTTGGCTTATTTTACTGCGGTTTTGCCTTTTCTTTGGCTTTTTTTTTTGTTTTATTTCTTGTGTTGCTCTGATTGAAAGTGAGTTTTGAAAGCTCTGTTCAAAGTGCATATTAAATAGTTCTGCAGCTCTTAAAAATAACCAAAATAAATCTTGTATCATCTGATAGAAAATTTATTTCAGTTCATGCAGATTTCAAGGGTTTTACCAAAACAGTGTATGGCAGTGAAATACAGCTTGTCATCCAATTATAAATATTGTATACAAGTGATACATCTCCATCCATACAAACATTTTCTTTAATGACCTCTTTAATGATATGGCACACTGTTTGTGCTTAGCATTGAAAATAAACTAAAACTGTTTTATTATGAAGAAATTATTATACATTTCATTCTATGCACTTATGCTGCACAAATATTTAATTTCTGCTGCTTGTTTGCACCACAACAACTTGTCTTGTTCTCTTTTTTTCTGTTCTCAGGCATCAAAATGCAGAAAGAACGGCGGGTTAAACACAGATAACATTCAAAAGTTTGGTGTCAGTGACATGCACTGGTCTGATGTTGAGCCATTGAAAAACTTTCTCTAAGTGCTTTAGCTCTAGTGCTGCAGAGAAGACAATCAATTCTTTTTGGATGACTTGTGGAAAGATGGCAGCTCAAACTGACAGTTCTTCCTCTTCAGAGTCCAAACATCT